TACAAAGAGGAAGGATCAAGGAGAAATGGAGAAGGAACTCTCCTTTGGTGACTTCAGCTAGAGAGAATTGAGATCTCAAAGAAGATGAAATTCTCATTCGAATATCCAAAGTGATTCAAATTACACAGAGAATATACAGGCCTAGGAAGAGTATGGAAGAAGCTAGCCTAACCTTAGGTTAAGATAAACCATGGTATGTTTTAAATTAACCTTTAGGCGCCCAAATTTGAATTCAAAATTCAAATTTGGGTCCGACCATGTGCTTGCTTCATTTGGATGTGATTTATGTTGCATTTGAGAAGCATTTGAGTCATGTCATGTGTGCCACTCAACTTGGCTAGTCACATGGTTCAAATGCTTTCAAAATGTAACCTAAATTACATGCAAATGAAGTTACACATGTGTAAGCTTAATACTAAATCTATAAATGGTCAAAAATTACAAGGCCCAAATTTCCTATACTACTTGATCAAAATACAAGGCCCACAAACAAAATTACAAGCCCAATGGTCCAACCCTAATCTACATGGGCTTTCAATGTATAGCTTAATTGAATAGCACTATGGGATTTTCTTAAGAATTGGCCCATTCCTCCTCCAACCTCTTGACTATAGCCCTAGTAACTAGGCCCTTGGCCCATGGGCCTCCATCAGCTAGCTTACTCTGATGTCATTTTTGGGAACTCCTTTTTCTTATGCTAAAAGTCAATTTCCTTGTTTACGCGTCTCGGATGAAATTAGGTGTCTACAATAGTTAATACATTTTTTCTGCTAAAAGCCTTTTACCACTAACCTTGCCTTGTATCTCTTGTTGCCATCATGTTCTTCCTTGACCCTAAACACCCACTTGTTCTATGATTCCCTTTTTTCCTGTTGGTAGGTTAGTCAAACACCAAGTTTTATTCTTCTCAAGTGAGTTCATCTCCTCCTGCATGGCTAATTCTCATTGGGTTGCATCATCCAATTGTAATGCCTCATGATAACATAGAGACTCTCCATTGTTAGTCAACAACAAGTAATTTGTTGAAGGAGATAATCTATAAGGAGGCCTAATAACTCTGCTAGATCTTCTCACTTTAATTACTAGAGTGACCGAAGTCGTCTCCTCATCTGTCCTGTTTCCTAGGCTTTCACCTTTTCCTCCAAGGTCGTCTTCTATAATGTCATCTAACACTACCTTTTGCTTCTCTATTGGTTTCTTTTCAGCTTCAGCATTTGTCTTAAGGTTGTCATTGTACACTGCATTTTCATTAAAAGTAACATCTCTACTTCTAATGACCTTTCTATTTTGATCATCCTAGAAGCGATATCCCATATCATTTGCTTTATAGCCAATAAAAATGCACTTTCTTACTTTTGTATCAAGCTTGTCTTGGTCAGCATCTATAACACGAACATAAAAAATACAACCAAATACTTTCAAATGAGAAAATACTTACATCCTTACTTTGCCATTCTTAAACCTTGTGGGAACTGAGGGTCCTCGATTAATAAGGTATGTTGTTGTGCTCACTACATTTATCTTTGGTAACCCTGCATGAATTCTCATACTTTTTACCCTTTCATTCAAGGTCTTATTAATTATTTCAGCAACACTATTTTGCTGAGGTGTCTCAGGAATAGTTTTAAGCATTCTAATTTCATTCTTAGCACAATAATTAACAAATTCAGTACTACTGTATTCACCACCATTATTAGATTTTAAATATTTAATTTTTAATCATGTCTCATTCTCAACAACAACTTTCCACTTCTTAAAGGTATTAAATACTTTTGATTTTTGCTCCAAAAAATAAACTCATACCTTTCTAGTGGAATCATCGATGAAGGTGACATAATATCATGATCTTCCCAATGATGAAACTGATGTTGGTCTGTACACATCTGTATGAACAAGCTCCAACTTCTCAATCTTGGGCATCTTCCCTGACTTGGCAAAAGTAACTCTCTTTTACTTTCTAAACACACATGGTTCACAGAAACCAACTTCTACCTCTTTCAATTTTGGAATCTTCTCTTTTGAAACTAGTATCTTCATACCCTTCTCGCTCATATGACCAAGTCTTTGGTGCCATAGAGTCGAAGAGTGACCAACATCATCATTGACTGAATTTACTTCTTTTGTAGGTATGGTTCCTTTCTTTCAACCACGAGCAACAACTAGATTACCCTTCACCACCTTCCACTGACCATCTCCGAATATAACTCGATATCCTTGACATCCAACATACCCGCAGAGATTAACATTCTTTTGAGCCCTAGAATATATCTGACGTCCTTCAGTGTCCATACTGTACCAACAAAAGTTTTAAGATTTATATCTCCCATGCCTACAATGTCTAAGGCTTCATAATCTACTAGATGAACTTTGCCAAAATTCCTAGTTCTAAATTTTTCATCAAGTCTTTCTAAGGAGAAGCATGGAAAGATGCACTAGATTCCATGATCCAGGATTCAAACTTACTCTCAACACAACATATCAACATATCATCAATGTCTTCTTGTGTTGCATTCACTATGTTGTCATGCCTCTTTTCTTTAGGAGAAACAGGAGCAGTACATTGGTTTCTGAAGTGGCCATTCTGCTGACAATTCTAACATGTAATATCCTTGCGAGGTTTGGACTATCCTCGCTTCTTGGACTTTGATCTATCACACCTAAAAACTTGCCCCTTTTAGGCCTTCTACCTTTACCTTTTGTGCTCAATAAGGAACATGTTGATTCTCCAATGTTTCTCCTACAAACATCCTCACCAAGGATTAAATCCCTAATTCCTTTGAAGCTCAATTTCGTAGTCCTAGATGTACTGGCGACTGTTGTGACAGTTCCTGACCAACTATCAGGCAACAAAGATAGCAACAAAAGGGTTTGTACTTCATCATCAAATTTAATATCCACTAATACTAATCTCAACAAAAAAGAATTAAATCCGTTCACATGATTTGTAACACTAGTACCTTATCACATCTTCGTATTAACTAGTTGACGAATCAGAAATACCTTGTTTGATATTGATGGCTTCTTGTACAGTTTGATAACGCCTTTATCAAACCATATGTCGTCTTCTCGTTGACGATGTTGTAGGCAACGTTCTTCACCAACATCAATCTAACGATGCCCAAAGTTTGTCGATCTAGCAACTCCCAATTTTCTTGAGACATCGTTTCTAGTTTACTCTCAGACAGAGGTTGGTACAGTTTCTTCTGATACAAAAATCTTCAATCTGCATCTTCCAAAATTCAAAATTACTCCCATTGAACTTATTAATCTTCACTTTCCCATCTTCTTTCATTGCTCCCACTCGTGTGAAACCTTATGCTCTGATACCAGTTGTTGGGGATCGCAAATGCACTCATATACAGAATGTTGTAAGAGGTCGCAAATGCACTCACATACACAATTACAAGAGAGAAAGTAAATTCACAAGATACAGAGATTTATGTGGTTTAGTCAAAATAACCTACGTTAACGGCCTCACTAGATGATGTTTTCTATTTCATAATTAGGTTTTATAATTACATGAGTATTTATAAAAAAATACAAGCAAATGAGTCAAACCCAATAAACCTTTCAAACTCCACATACTCAACACAATGATGAGTTTGAGAAAGAAGAACAATAAAGATAGATCTTATTTTGATGGTGCAAATCAGGATTGAGTTTATGATTAATAGTTATTTAAGTTGAATTTCAATTTAATTTTGTTTTCATCATCATAACTTTCTTGATTAAAGAAATTGATTTTAGCAATACCTTATATGTTTTGTTTTAATTGAAGAATAAAGATGTGAACCCTTTTACAAATTTTATGAAATGAATTATTATAATTATTTTATTTTCTAAAATTTTTGTATATTTTATTTGTTAAGTTTGTCGAAGTAGAAGAGTGTCACATTTATTATAAATTTAAAATATAATTTATATGTTCAAAATATCTATGTATACTAATATGAAATATAACTTATATATTCAAACATAATATATATATATATATATATATATATAAGTTATTATAAATTTTAATCATATATAATCGACCCATATACATTAAACACGAATATCTATCTTGTACAATAACATTCTTAGGGACTTTTTTCCTGACAAGAGGATTTTTATGATTTTTTTTTTAAATTATCGAATTTGATTTTTATTTATTATAATTATTTATAAATTAAATTTTAATATTTTTAAAATAATTTATCAATAAATAAAAATAATATTATACAATAATATAAATTATTTATCATAAATCTAAAATATAATTTATATGTTTAAAAATATCTATTTATATAAATTTTAAATATAATTTATATATTTAAACATAATATTTATTTGTATATATAATTTATAAATTTTAATTATATATAATAAATATTTTGTCCATATATTACATGTACTAAAATACTAATAAAAATGTATGTATATTGCACATATTAAAATACTAGTAAAATACAATAGTTATTTTTTTTTATTATTATTCATACTTGTTTTCTCTCTATGTATAATGTATGCCTTATTTTTGTATAAAAAGAAAAAAAATACTAGAGGTTTAACTTGCAATGTTATGAAAGAAAAAAAAAATAGGAAAATTTTGCTTTCTTTTAAAACAATCGTATACTGTATTTTTTTATCATAAAGAATCACATATATTTCATAATCTGTAGTAATTCATACAAGAAATATATTGTAGAGAAACGTTGTTGCGAGTGATTCAAAACAAAACACAGGAAACTGAGTGGGCACCAACATGAAAAGTCAGTCAACTGAAACAGCACAATTACTACTTTAATTATTATTGTCCCTGCTGCTGTTAGTGTTTGGCGCTTATTTATTTAATTTATTTTTATTTTAATATTCTAAGACAATTCACATTCACACATAACAGTACACAACTTTTAAAATTTGAAAATAAATTATATAAAAATCAGAGCAAGAAAAAAACTACTTTTTGTCTTTTTTTTTTTTTTTTAATTTCTTTTCAAACTACGCGTTGGTTCCGCAGTGGAAGAAAAATGAAAAACCTTTGCACTCACCATGGATTTGAACACAATTATTTTTCAACTGAACCAAACATACACCACACGGTTGGAAGTTTCAGACTCTTGGAAAGTAGAAAAAAAAAGTCTTTGAACTGAATCATCAATCCCTCCCTTATGGCTGGGTATGTACCCTTCTTTTTGCTTACCATGTTTGATTATTGAACTGTATTTTTCACTTGGATTTTCCTTCTGGAACATCATAGTACAAACTGATTCTGTCTATTGAAGGAACCCCATTATTTTGATCTAAATGGGTTTGCCTAGTTTCATGTGAAAATTGATGTCTTTTCTTTGTTCTGGTTGGGTTGGTTCTTCTCTGCGATGTTCCTTGTTCTGTGATTGAAAGAGAAGTGGAAGTTTGTACATAGGGTTAGCTAGTTTGTGCTAAAAATCATAGCTTTTTGTGTTTTGGTGGAGTTTCTGGTTGAGAGAGAAGGAGGGGGGCGGGGGGGGGGGGGGGGGGGGGGGG